TAGTAGAGACGGGGTTTCACCATGTTGACCAGGATGGTCTCGATCTCATGACCTCATGATCCACCCGCCTCAGCCTCCCAAAGTGCTGGGATTACAGGCTTGAGCCACCGCGCCCGGCTCAGCCTCACTCTTAATAAATAAATCACAAATTTTCAAAGGGTAGATGCTGCAAGCTTACTTGTTTTCTTATCTGAGTGCTGAGCACATTATAGGTTGTGAACTTTCCCTGGTCCCTAAGAAGCCAGCTACTGCCACACTGCCACTCTCACTCCTCATCACTATGTATATGTATGTATTACACACACACTCATAAATGAAGTGATCTCACACACAAACACCTCTTTCTGCCATGAAAGAAAGCAGACAGCATGTCAAAAGGAAAAACACATTTTTGCTTCCCAACTTTCGAGACCTATCTTAAAGCATACTAAGGACAGGTATATGGGCATATGTGACTTAGGGCCCACCTCCAGAAGATTGCTCCAAGAGTTGTCCTGGTCTGCTCCAGTACTTCTTGTCATGACTTACTTGCCTTCCTTAACTATCGTTTCCCTTCTCCAGTAAGCCATCCCTTCCTTATTAAGCTTTCCCCTTGCTTTGAACCCAGCTTCCCACTTCCCACTTCCCATCTTGTGTTAGAGAGTCTCTGAATAATCAAAGAAAGGATAACAATTCACGGAGAAGAAGCACAGATGCCTTGGAGTTAGAGATCAGATAAATATTTGTCTAAATTGAGAAGGACTGAAGGCCAGGTGTGGTGGCTCACAACTATAATCCCAGCACTTTAGGGGGCTGAGGTGGGAGGATCACTTGAGCCCAAGAGTTTGAGACCAGCATGGGCAACATAGTAAGTCCTCATTCCTACTAAAAAAAAAATTTTTTTTTGACATGGAGTCTCACTCTTGTCGCCCAGGCTGGAGTGCAGTGGCACGATCTCAGCTCAAGGCAACGTCCACCTCCCAGGTTCAAGTGATTCTCCTCAGCCTCCCAAGTAGCTGGGACTACAGGCATGTGCCATCACGCCCAGCCAATTTTTTTTTGTATTTTTAGTAGAGAGCGGGTTTTTCCATGTTGGTCAGGTTGGTCTCCAACTCTTGACCTCAGTTGATCCACCTGCCTCAGCCTAAGTGCTGGGATTACAGGCGTGAGCCACCACGCCCAGCCTGAAAAAAAATTTTTGCCCAGCCTGAAAAAAAATTTTTTTTAATTAGGTGAGTGTAGTCCCAGCTACTTAGTAGTCTGAGGTGGGAGGATCACTTGAGCCCTGGAAGTAGAGGCTGGAGTGTGCCAAGACTGCACCACTACATTCCAGCCTGGGTGACAGAGCAAGACTCTGTCTCAAAAAAAATAAAGAAGGACTGGAAAATCTTCAGAGCTCTTTACCAGCCAGCCCCCTTAGCATATCCTGCTTCTGTTTTCACCAAGGTCTTACCTCCACAGAGATGCCCCGGGCACTGGGCCCCATTGTGACCGTGCCCACCTTCACCAGGAAGTCACAGTACTGGTACCGGGTGCCCCGGGTCTCAATCTTGCTGGCCTTAGCACTCTGGAAAAAGCCCTTCAGCTTCACCATAAGCACATCAAAGTTGGTGTCAGCAATAAGACAAGGGCCATTCTCAAAGAGGGCAAAACAGCTCAATGGGTACTCCGAGTTGTGCATCACATACATCAGCTTCCCGGTCTGACCTGCAAGGTACAGAGATCCGGCTCATCATCAAGACTTTCACTGGCAAACCCCAGAGTAAAGCAAATGACTCCCCCTCGGAATGAGGCCAGATAGCAATCTGGCACTACCTCAGCAGTCTTGGTGGGGCGTGAGGGGAATCCTCTCACTGACAGCCTTTTCTAGAAAGGTAAGGAGAGAAAGAGCAGGAGAGGCAGCATGTGGTAAAATCCACCCTGCTCTACCGAAAATGGTGAGGGGCACACAGGGAACTTTAACAGTTTTGATGATGGTTTAATTCTTGAGTGGTGGGCTCACAGATGGTCTATATGTAAAGTCTAATTCACACAGATTTTCCATATACTCTTTTGTATATTATCATACATTCCATAAGTAAAATGAAAGTAACAGCATTTGGGCAAGACAAAGGAAGCAACTGCTCCCTTCTTCTGTGCACTCCTCCTCGCCTGGGTTCCCCCCTCTTTGAGAGCTAGTAAATGGTCCTATGGAAGCAGTAAAGGGGAGTGTCTGTGCATAAGACCGGAAAGGTAGATGGGAGCCAAGCTGTGATAGGTCTTGTCTACCATGATTTGAACAGGGATATGAAGGGAAGGTAGGATTCAGCCACAGGAAGGAAAGAAGACATTCTAGGCAGGTGGCAAGAGAGTGGGAATGAAAAGGGTGTGGGGGTGGGGGGAACAGAGGGCATGTGACTTCCCTATGTAGGCTATATCATGAACAACAGCAGGCTCTACACAGATCCCCCAGGCAACATCCCTCCTCCTGACTGCTTGCTGACAGCTCCCACCTGTCACCTCCGTCTAAATCCAGTTCAAAACTTCTTGACTCTCAAGAAAAAAATCCATCCAAAGGTGATCTTATCATTCTGTTCTCATGTCTACTCACTATAATTACATACTTTATTCATACCATATGAGTCTGCAAGTGTTACTGTCTTGGAAATATCTTAAAAGTCAACTAAGGGGAAGGGGTGTGTGTGTTTAATGAAGAAGACACTTTCAGTATTAAAGACAGTAACATTTTTCTTTTCTTCTTTTTTTTTCTTTTGAGACAGTGTCTCACTCTGTCGCCAGGCTGGAGTGCAGTGGTGCAATCTCAGCTCACTGTAACCTCCGCCTCCCGAGTGCAAGTGATTCTCCTACCTCAGCCTCCCGAGTAGCTGGGATTATAGGCACGTGCCACCATGCCCAGCTAATTTTTGTATTTTTAGTAGAGACGGGGTTTTACCATGTTGGCCAGGATGAAGTCAATCTCTTGACCTCAGGATCCGCCCACCTTGGCCTCCCAAAAGGCGTGAGCCCCTGCACCCAGCCTCTTCATTTTTTTTGAGACAGGGTGTTACACTGTCACCTAGGCTGGAGTACAGTGGCATGAACACAGCTCACTGAAGCCTCAACCTCCTGGGCCCAAGCAATCCTCCTGCCTCAGCCTCCCATGTAGCTGAGACCACCACGCCCACCTTTTATGTTTTCTTGTTTCTGTTTTTGTTTTTTAATTTTTGTAGAGATGAGGTCTTACCATCTTGCCTAGGCTGGTCTCAAACTCCTAGTCTCCAGCAGTTCTCCCACCTCTACCACCCAAAGTGTTAGGATTACAGAAATGAACCACTGCAGTCAGCTGACAATAGTATTTTCTTTTTTTTTTGAGATGGAGTCTTGCTCTTGTCGCCCAGCCTGGAGTGCAATGGCATGATCTCGGCTCACTGCAACCTCCACCTCCCAAATTCAAGTGATTCTCCTGTCTCAGTTTCCTGAGTAGCTGAAATTATAGGCGACTGCCACCACACCCGGCTAATTTTTGTAGTTTTAGTAGAGACAGGGTTTTAGCATGTTGGTCAGGCTGGTCTTGAGCTCCTGACCTCAGGTGATCTGCCTGCCTCGGCCTCCCAAAATTGCTGGGATTACAGGCGTGAGCCACTGTGCCTGCCCAACAATAGTATTTTCTATTATAACAACATCCTTTCATGTCTGTACCACCTTGTGAAGCAGGCAGAACCAGGTTTACTGTCCCCCTTCTAAAGATGAGAAAAATGAAGCTAAGTGGATCCCAGAGCAGCAGCAGTAGAAGAGCCTCCTGGGAACTTGTTAGAAATGCAAATTATAGCCAGGGCACTCGTGCCTATAATCTCAAAACTTAAGGAGGCCAAGGCAGGGAGGATGGCTTGAGCTCGGGAGTTTGAGACCAGCCTGGGCAACATAAGGAGACCTTGTCTCTATAAAATAATTTAAAAATTAGCAGTGAAAGTCTTGATGATGAGCAGGATCTCTGTCCCTTGCAGGTCAGACCGGGAAGCTGATGTATGTGATGCACAACTCAGAGTACCCATTGAGCTGTTTCGCCCTCTTTGAGAATGGCCCTTGCCTTATTGCTGACACCAACTTTGATTTGCTTATCGTATAGTGACAGACACCTGTGGCCTCAGCTATTTAGGATGCTGAGGCTAGAGGATCACTTGAGCCCAGCAGGTCGAGGCAATAGTGTGCCGTGATCATGCCACTGCACTCCAGCCTGGGTGACAGAAAGAGACCCTGTCTCAAAAAAGAAAAAAAAAGGGAAATGCAAACTATTGTCTACTCTTCTCCAAACTACTAAGTCAAAAACTTTGGGGTTAGGTCTAGCAATCTGTGTGGTAATAAGCCTTTCAGATGATGCTAATGCTGGTCAAGTTTGAGAACCACTGATCTAAAGGCATAGAGCCAATAAGCAGCAGAACTGAAACTCCAATCCAGGTCTGCTCACCCCAAGTTTATTACTCTTTCCATTCTTCCCCACTGCCTGCCATGAAGGTGTTCTGTCTCCCCAACTAAACTGTAGCTTCCTGAAAGTGAGGGCCTGCTCAGCCCACACCAGGTAGTTTCACTAGAAGTCATATGCCATCTCATATCTATATCCTAATACTTTATTACCCAAACGCTTTTGTAATCATTATCTCTTGATTCTTACCTCCTTCATAGTGAAGGCAACATAAATGGTAACTGCAATTTTATCAACGATAATACAAGAGCTAAGTACAACTCTTAGCTACCATTGATTAAATATTACATGACAGGCTGGGCGCGGTGGCTCATGCCTGTAATCTCAGCACTTTGGGAGGCCAAGGTAAGCAGATCAAAAGGTCAGGAGGTTGAGACAAGCCTGGCCAACATGGGGAAACCCCATCTCTATTACAAATACAAAAATGAGCCAGGCATAGTGGAGCTTACCTGTAGTCTACTAAGATGGCTGAGGCAGGAGAATCACTTGAACTCGGGAGTCGGAGGTTGCAGTGATCTGAGACTGCACCATTGCACTCCAGCGTGGGCAACAAGAGCGAAACTCCATCTCAAAAAAAAAATTACATGACAATCTTAGTTCTAAATGCTTTGCATGTATTAACTTATTTAATTAGCACAACACGAGGAAAGAAGTAGTATGATTATCTTCATTTTATAGATGAGAGAACTCTATTGGGAAGAGTTCAGAAACAGAACCCATGCCAGATAATTTTGGTACAAGAAATGTATACGGGGAACAAACACACGAGTTGGAAGAAAGGAAAAACCAAACAGGAGGGTGAGACAACCCAAAGAGTAGCAACACAGGAAACTACTACCATTCCTAGGGCTAGAGGGAAAAAGAAAATATGTGCTCTTATCAGAGGCAGGAATGAGGGTTGCCTAGTGGAAGCTAGAACCAAGGAGGTGAAGACAAAGCAATAGCTAGAGACACTGCCCAGAGCAGAGGGAGAGGAATACTATGGGATTCCTTTCTCCCATCCTCTAAATCTTCTTCGGCGCCTCTCAATAACCAAAGCTAACTAGTAGAGGGCCTGGAAAATACAGCTTGCAGGGGAAGTGCAGGAAATGGATCTAAGGGAAACAGGTACATGAGAGGCATGGAAACAGTCACAGATAGGTTGTAGGAGTTACCTACAGGTGCACAATTAGTATGTCGAAAAGCCATGACTCAGGACTCTGGCTCCCCAGTCATAACCACTATGCTATGGAACTGTTCAAGATAAAATTACTGCAGAGCCAAGACTAAGAGAAACAACTTCCCTAACTCATATCCAAAGAGTCCCTCTCATTGCCTGAGCCCAGGAGTTAAAGCTTGCAGTAAGCTGGGATCATGCCACTGTATAGTCAGGCAACAAACTGAGTCCTTCACTCTAAAAGAAGAAAATCCTCTCTCCCTCGCAACCACCATCCCCCATTATCCACAGACCATCCCACCACTCAATACACTAAAAAGAACAATTAATTTATGCTATGTTAATAAGGAGGCCAAGGCCAATGGTTAGGTGTAGGAAAACAGAGAAACTTCTAGAAACTTTAAAGCTCTAAAACAATAATAAACAAAGACTTCTGGGCCTGACACATGTCTTTCTCAAACTTCAGAGTGCATGAGGATTGTCTGGATGCTTGTTAAATGTAGATTATGTGGCCTAAACAGCAGTCAATCAGTAAACAGGGCCAGGAATCTGCAACTCTTAACAAATATCCCAGGTGAATTTGATGTGGTTAGTCAGTGATTAACCCTCTGAAAAACATTGCTTTTAGAGTTCAAACTGCACAAAACAGCACTCAAAGAGCACAAGGGCCAGGCATGGTGGCTCATGCCTCTCATCTCAGCACTTTGGGAGGCCGATGCTGGTGCATCCCGTGAGCTCAGGAGTTTGAGACCAGCTACTTGAGAAGCTGAGGCAGGAGGATGGCTTATGGCTAGGAGTTTGAGACCAACTTGGGCAGCATAGTAAGACATTCCCATGACCCCACCCAAAAGTTAAAAAAAAATCCGCCAGGCATGGTGGCACATGCCTGTAGTTTCAGCTACTCAGGAGGCTAAGGTGGGAGGATCACCTGACCCCAGGAGTTTGAGGCTACAGTGAGCTCCAGCCTGGACAACAGAGCAAGACTCTATCTCTTAAACACACACACACACAAACACATACAAAGAAATTTTGGGGCTAATGCCCTTTTCGGCATTAGCCCACCTGCACCCAGGTGAAGATAAAAAAAAA